TCTCAAAATGCTACAGAGTTCACTGTCAGGGAAGGCAGGAACAGACTTAGGCACCAGCTGAGAAGGGGACATGATCTTTTGGTAAGTGTGTGGGGCTACAGTGTCAACTGGCTGCTGGCTTGAAGTGTGTTAACGTCTGCACTGAACAGTGAATCAAAGTTCTACTTTACTGGCTTGAAGGACATGTGGCCAGACCCCAGGGGGTTAAACGTTTGAACCTCCTAAAAAACCTGCTCCACATGGTTCCATTATAGGCACTTCCTGGATACAAGACCTTTTTGTGGTGTTTTCCTAAACTTAACAACACACATATGCTGATTTACCTGACTATTGTGCTTAGGGATAAATCTGCTTCTTGGTGTTAGAAAATACAATAAATACTTGAATCATATTTTGGCTGTAATAGCCTGAATTTACTACTTTCAGATATGTGTTGCTCCTGCCTGGTCATGACAGATTGTGTTTTAAGATTACAGATATGAAAAATGTGCTTAAATCATAAGCCAACATTAAAACATAGAAGAATTACATACTAGATCATGCACATATAAACATTTACTCAACCTGCTGAGACTATGGAAAAATATCATGAAGCCAATTTGTGTGCTGGATAGAATCCAGATTCCCCAACAATTCCATTTGCATTAGCAGAGCAGCTTACAGAAACCGCTCACAGAATAAAATACTCAACGGGCATTAATTAAATTGACATAATGTAGTGTGTGATTTATTATTGTATGAAGGAGCACTGTATAAATATTTTTCATCTTATGTATGTGATGTAACCAAGCTACCATCAGCTTTGATGAGTCCTTGTTTAGTAGGACGCCTGCAAGGAGCGAAATATGTAGGATGTAATTGTTGACCCCCTTGTGTGATTGCTGCTCTCCTGGTTCTTGTTGGATTTAATACTTTTGAGTCAGTGGTCCAGTAGAAATATGCAGTCGATGATTTCTGCAAGTAGTGAAATATGAAGGATGCCATTGCTGACCTCCTTGTGTGATTGCTGGTCGCCTGGTTCTTGCTGGATTTAATACTTTGAATCAGTGATCCAGGATAGATATGCAGTTGGTGATGTCAGACCTGGAGATCTATATACCTAATTATGTTTAGAAGATAAGGCAGTATAAATAATTCTTTAGGTGCAGGTTTTATGTAAAGTGATAAATTACTTATTTACAGATGAAAGGAAAAAGAAAGCAGAATTGTGTGTTAGAGATGTAGCCAAAATGGCAATGGAGATGAACATTTAATTACAGAGCTATATGTATTATTATTAAATCTCTATATTATTAAATTATTATTAAATCTCATGTTCATATGGACTGTGTCCTCCTGATTGTGCCAGAAGAAACTGACCTATGTAAAGAATACTACTAAGAGATGTGGGGTTTCCCAAGCTTCAAGTAAAGAACCCCTCACAATGTCCAGTAAAACCATTAACTTACAGCAGTCCAATAAGATGCAAATACATCTTTGAAAGTAATAATCATACACATTGATTTTTTTCTATCCCCAAATAAAATCTGAGAGATCCTAAAGCTGACCATACATTATAAAATTTTTTAATTCAATGCATACAAATTGAAAGCGTTTAGGTTTGACCTTATATTATATGGTTTTGGTAAATCTACAATAAAATTGTATAATATATGGGCAGCTTTATAGGCTGAGGTTGTCAGTCTATATGCCTTGTACCCAAGCTGCCAGATGCACCCCCTTGGTACTCAATGTGTGACCCTGTGGTTCCAGGAGTCTGAAGTGGGTGTCGATATCAGTGTTCTCTACTGGCCTCATATGACGTTTCCCCAGTTTCTGTTTTCTGTAGCATATCAGTCTCCAACCACACCTATACCACGTTCATAGTCTCTCGCCATCATTTCTTCCAGTATGTCTGAAGTCTCCAACAGTCCTGTCTTGCAATGCATATACTAAACATTATGGTATTGATTTTTAAAGCATTTGCATAGCAATTCTCCCAGTGAAAGTGTATGTACGTTTGTTCTGTACATTAAACCCAAAAGAAAACATTTATTATGCTGCAGCTTACCGATCTTTAAATGTGGTGGCTGCATTTGTTTTCTTATTTAGGCTTTTTTGTTTTATTTTCACCTGGTGATGTGGCCAGTATGTCTGTTTTTCTACAGAACAAGTTATTCTGCGAATGTAGCAGTTTGAGAATTGAGACAATCCATTAACACTGGTAAGGGTTCTTAGAAGGATCAGCTTTTATTAATGTAAACCCTTTACACCAAAAACAACAAAACAAGTGTCAGCTGGAGCTTGGCTTCAGTTTGCTAGTGTATCTAAATCTGCTAGTACACATAACACTCCTCCCCCCCCAGACTGACAATGCTTATGTCCAAAGGTGTCTCTGTTGATCCTCCATCCAGAGAGTAGGACACTCTAATTCAGAAAGTGTGTTACAGACCAGATCACCAGGTAAAAACAGCAGGGGAATAGGCCTAAAAATAAAACTTATGCAGCAATCACATCTAAGGATGGGTAAGCTGCAATCTATAAAATTTTTGGTGTTGGGTTTAATATCACCTTAACCACTTGCTACCCTATAGTAGAAATACGGCTACAGGGTGGCATGGGTGCGCAAAATCACGTGTATATATATATGCGTGATTTTGCAGTTCCGAGTAGAGGGGTGCCACCATTCGCGGCCTCGGTTGTCAATCTCCGGGTCCCGGCCCGTGATTCTCCGCCGGCACCTGGCAATCGCCGAGTATCACAGACAGGGAGAGACCTGTGTATAAACAACACAGATCTCTCCCCTGTCAGCTCCTGCACACTACTTTGTATGGCTCTGCATAGCAGAGCCATACAAAGCAGTGTGCTTACAGTGCAAAGCGCACACACAGCCCACAGTAAAACAGCACACAGTTAACCCTTTGATCACCCACATGTTAACCCCTGCCTGCCCAGTGCCATTAGTATAGTGTCAGTGCTTTTTAATAGCACTAATCACTGTATTGGTGTCACTAGGGATGTCAGTAACACCAAGTAATCTCCTCCCAATGTCAGAATGCCTGCCGCAGTCCTGCAGTCCTGCTGTAAGTCACCGATCGCTGCCATTACTAGTAATAAAATAAACAATTACAGTATATATACCGCCATTTGTAAATGCTATAACTTTCATGTAAACCAATTAATTTACACGCATTGTGATTTTTTTTTTTTTAGCAAAGACGTAGCAGAATACATTTTGGCCTAAATTTATGAAGAAATTAGATCTTAAATTTTTTTTTACTGGACATGTTTAACCTCCCTGGCAGTCTAACTAATCAATATGTTTGAATGTCAAAGCGGTACATTGTTTTGCATGGAAATTTGTTGTTTTATATTGTAGGCATGTAATTCTTAGGAATCACTCCCTTAAATCTGTCCAAACAAGAATCTAGTAAACATCCCGGGCATGATAAAGTTTGAAACATGAAATCCTAATTTATAAAAAAAATAATAATATAACAATAATAAATTTAATTCAATAATGTAATCAAGCCAAAAAACACTGAAATTTTAAATATAGCACCAAGTTCTCACATCACTGAGCTCAGTCGCAGAATTGTTTTCAGTGTCTGATGACGAATTTCCCCACGAATCATTATCACTCAATTCTGCAAGTGATTCTAATTCACTATCGCTGTTCTCTAGCTGGTCTAAAACAGTTTTTGACATAAAGGGATGCTTTTTGGATGCCATTGACGTTCTCAAGTTTCCAGGCAGAAAGAACGGTAACAGTAAAGGCAGGGCACAGGACAAAGCACTCGGGACAAAAGTTAGGTGAAATGGTTTGATATAGTAATGTAATACTAACAGATTACAATGTATTGTCTGTATGTCATGCTTTTACTTTTTTGAATCTCCCGCTGGTTCCGCCCCCCTGCGACACTCACAGGGAAGAGAACCCGGAAGTCGGATGCCGGCATCTGCCAGAGGACATGGTCGGAGGACACGGTGGGGTGGAAGACATCGGGGATCACAGAACAAGGTAAGGATCGAGGGATCGCAGGACAAGGATTACAGTGTAATCCCGAGTGTGGCTCGGCCTTACCGCTTTTGGTACAGTAAATTAACCCCGAGCCAAAACTCTAGATTACCACTAGGAAGGTTAATAGCAAAAAGTTAAAAATATAGTTTTTTTTTTCAAAATTGTCTATATTTTTTTGTTTATAGCACAAAAAATTAAAAACACAGAGGCGATCAAATACCACTGGAAGAAAGCTCTAGTTGTGGAAAAAAAAGGACGCAAATTTAATTTGGGTGCAGCGTTGCATGACGTAATGGTCAGTTAGTAACTCAGCACCGTATCGCAAAAAATGTCCTGGTCAGGAAGGGGGGGGGGGGTAAATCCTCTGAAGGGCAAGTGGTAAAGTATACCCAAAGGCATTTTTTTTTTTTGTTTTGGATAGAGTGGAGAATGATTGGAACAGCCATTAGGTTTATTGTCATCTGTGTCCCCATTATGGAGATTCACTCTCTATTTGTCCTGTTTGTGGTTATCACTCAGAGTGGAGGGAAATCCTGAATTTTGGGTTGTCACCATAACAGCAATTGAGGTGAAATCTTCTAATAGGGACATTAGGTTTGGTGACCCTGGTGACTAGCAGGGATTCCCTCACTTTGGAAGGATTTCCTCTCACTCAATCTCCCCAATGGAGCAGAGATGACAGAAACAAAATTGACAGGGATTATATTCCTTACTCTATCCAAAATTAAAAAAACAAGTCTTCCCTTTTTCTCTCCTTTAATAGAAATTGTCATCCAAACTCTAAACAAAAAAAAAAAAAAAAAAAATCAGTTTAATCATGAAGTAGTTTCCATGTTGGAGCCATTTCTTTTCCTGAAGCTGACCTCAGGCAGGCTGCTTGGCTCCAACTTTTTAGCATTTTACATTATGAGCTCACTTTATAGCTTTACAAGTGCCAGCACTAAGTACATGAAATGCAGAAAGCGCTTACCTACCATTATAATTTAATTTTTATACATGCCGACTTCATACAACGTTGCTTTGTAGTCCACATATTCATATTCATCAAATTTCTGTGGCCCCCAGCACATAGCCCTGCAGTCAACATCTGCTCGGAAATAGCCTTTCAAAGCATCCTCAAAGTGCTTGATGGCCTGTTCATATTGTTCCTTATCATAGAGCTTCTCACCTGTATGATAATCTTCCTAAACAGACAGAATTAAGGCTTTGTTAAACAATCATTATGCAATGGCAGAGCTGTATTACTTCAACATTTCCAGTATACAATATCCCTGCAGATAATTTATTTCTGTCTGGAGTAACAATTTCCCCTATGTATGTGACCTGATATGTGTGGTTGTTTTATTTTCCACTTTGGTGTCCAGAAATGATTTAAAAAAGGAAATGTAATCTCCATCTGGTAAACTGGTCACAGAAAATGTGTTTTCAGGCAGTGAGGGTATTTTATTGTCAGAGGTAGCAGAGTCAGCTAAAATCTCGAATGTCATTAGCTATTACTGCTGGCTCAGTCTGATACAATATTATGTGTATGTGTGGTAGCTACTGAGTAATACATCTTTAAACGTGCTAATGCTAGATGAGATATATAGTGCTTTGCAGTTAAATAAGCATTGGTAAGCTCGAAAAGGTACATTTACATCAGATATCCCAGCAAACCTTCTATGCACATTGACAAGATAGTGTCACATAGATGTAGAAGGATTTGGAACAAGCATATATAGAAGATTCTATTCATGTTATTTTTAATATACACTACATACATTGTAAAGGATGCAGAAAAAAAACTGAATACAATGCTATGCTTGCTACTGGTTTTATTATGGTACCTTTTAACAAAATGGTTTAATATTTTGCAGGGCAACTGCCTGCAGCCTTTCTATCATTGCTTAATACCTTGACGCCGGTGCCTCCCGGCCCTTTAAGGGGCTTGTGGAGCCGGGAGACGTGGAAGGGTTTAGGGTCATGTGACGGTCATGATTGACTGTCACAGTGGTCACATGATTGGAAAGGTCCCGATTGCAAGTAGTGATCAGGACCTTTACATGAGGCACCGGAAAATGAGCTGGGAGTACTCAGGGCACGCGCAAATACCAAAAGTAAACAAAGTGCACAAAAGTAAACAAGGTATGCAAATATCAAGGCCCAGTCGCTGAAAGCCCACATATTTAAGTACTGTCGGCGTCAACAGGTTAACCCCAGCAGCCCTTTAAGTAGGCTTTAATACCCAGGAGGTGAATCGCCTTCTGTATTATGTGACCGCTGTGATTGGCTCCTGAAGCGACCACATACTCAGGAGCCCATCCCGCTGGCTTCTGATCAAAAGCTGTGAAAGAGAGCTGTCAGTGACAGCTCGGTCAGTGTGCTAGAAGCACACAGTGAGTGCAGGCAAAAGTGAAAGCCCACTTTTCTTTCTGCAGCCCATATATTACACAGTCAACAAGAGGTTAATTAAAGTGTCACATATGCTTAGTTTTTCTGAACCTGACACTGCATTTTGAGTTTCAGATTTTTTAGAGGTCACTTGAAGTCTGACAGTTGCTGCTGAAAGTGCATGAAATACAAAAAACAAATCCTCATAGATGCTGCTTTAACAGACATGGCATAACTGTAATTTGTAGCAATAATGCAAAACAGTTTCAGGATGACAATAAAACATGCACACACTGGAGAATATTGAAATCTACACAAATACAGACTCTTCACAGCAATGCCTCCTATACAGTCTTACACCCCAGTCGCACTGGGTGTGAGTTGGCATGCGAATTGCATGCCATGTGGCTTGCAATTCGTATGCCAAGTCACACCCTATTGTCCGCAATTACAGTTGTTAAATTGGTGCTGTTCCAACTTGGTTGGAGCCGCACCGATTTCTAAAGCAGTACATGTACTACTTTTCATGGGATTTGCATAGACATCTGTGTCAGATGTCTTGCAAATCTCACCTTACCGGCATATCCCTAAACTTTGAAATCGTGCAACTTCACTGTAAGTCACACGATTTCAAAGTTGGGCTTGATGTGACTGGGGTGTAATTTAGACATGTTACCCTGATTAATGAGGGAGTCCGATAAGGGGTTACTGCCGGTCCCCCTGTTATGGGGTCCAGGCAGAACAGGGGGCCTGGGCTGCTGACAAGCAGATGAAAGAGGAACCTAGACAGGAGGGGTGGCAGGGAAACATTGACTGAAATCGATCCCCTGTAGTTCCCCCTGCAGTAGTTGAAAGCCAGCTTGTAGGCAGGTGCAGTCTGTACACTCCACTGTACGAGGCACTTAAGCATCAATACAGAAAGGGAAGGAAGTTGGGAGGAACTTAGTTCATCTATGATTTCCTATGGTCACCTCGGAGCAGCTGTCTAATAGAATGCTGGCCCTCTCATGACTTCCGCAGGGTAAGGGCAGAGCTTATTTAAGCCTCCAGCCCCCTGATTTGGTGCGCATTTGCAAAGTGACTAGAGTAGGGACAGGTTCTCCATCTGTCAGGGAGAGTGCTTGGTGCTATGGAAAGGTCTGGAGAAGTTGGGAAAGCACGGGAACTACATCTACCTTCTCGGAGAAACTTCTCTATTGGGTTGGAACGGCCAGGCTGCACTTTCACCCCTCTCTGCAGACACTGTCAGTATTGCTTAAGCCACAGAATCTCGGCTGTGAGTTTTGTAAGTGGCACCGGATGGCTGTGCTCATCCGCCAGGACGGGTTGTACCCTGTTTAAACATTTTCAATATATTCAGTTCACTGCACTTCACCTCTCTGTGTGTTCTCTGACGCACACCACACTGCACCCTGCACAAGCTTCTCCTTCTCTCCCCCAGCTTTCAGTTGCAGCAGGGGGAAACTACAAGGGATTGGTACTAGTAAATGCCATCCGTGCCACCCATTATGTCCAAGTTGCCCTTCCTTCAGCTGCCTGGGCCCCTCGTGCGCTCCCTTGGGCCCCTATCCCCTGCAGCGCTGCCAGCTTCCTTTCCTCTCTTTATTGCCAGCTGCTGCAGGCACATTTCAGGATAAAGTGCAGGGGAAAAGACCAGTAAATCTGTAATGTGCCCCTTTATTTTCTGAACGGACACAGTGAGTGATCAGTACCAATCATTCACTATGTTCATTCATAACTTAAGCATAAAAAACTGTTTGTTATGCTTCAGTTTGTGAATGAACAATGAGACTGTGCAGAGCTCTTCCTGTTCATTCTGTGCAGCTAATGCTGCAGAAATAGTGATAGGTAATTATGCTGAAAACAGTATGTAAAAAAAAAATGTTAAAAGAAAAGAAAAAAATCTAAAAAAAAAAAAATCATCAGTCAGCATGCCTGACCACCGCCACACCAATCATATGATGATGCTGTATTGCACTGGTGACAGTATGTAAAAAAACTCGCAGTACCTCTTACTAAATACCTCTAACTGTCTACTTTCCAAAAGGGGATCATTTGGGGGGCATTTGTACTGTCCTGGCTTTTTAGGGTCTCAAGAATTGAGATAGGCCGTCAGTATATCAGGAATGATCAATTTTCAAATATATATACCATAGTTTGTGGACGCTATAATTTTCACACAAACCAATTAATATATACTTTTGGGAATTTTTTTTAACCAAAGAGTCATTTTTGGTCTTTTTTTGATATAGCAAAAAATTAAAAACCCAGTGGTGATCAAATAAAACCAAAAGAAAGCTCTATTTATGTGAAAAAAAAGTAAAATAAATTTAATTTGGGAACAATGTTGCATAACTGGGCAATTGCCAGTTAAAGTTGCACAGTACTGAATAGCAAAAAAAACGCTGTGAGCATGAAGGGGGTAAAATCTTTTTGAGGGCAAGTGGTTAAGTAAGTACAGTACAATTCCAATTATTTAGAAAATTAAAATTCAGATTTTTTTGGGGGTCTCTTTTGACCAAAAACAGCTTCCCTTTTTATTGTAAAACAGGAAGGAGAAACTAAAAGTAGGATACCATGCCTGCAAGTGTAGCAGTTCATTTTAAAGTAAATCTAAAGCCAAACATTTTTTTTTTAATAGGTAGGGAAGGGTTAAATCCCATCTGTTTTTTTTCATGGGTGTACCATTAGAAAGTTGTCTATTGAATTCCTGTTCTGTAGGCATAACCAATAATAGGAGGAACACCTTCAAAGTAAGCAAACAACTTGTCACCACTACAAGTTCCCATTGGAAGACTGCCCATACATTCTTGTCCAGTGACAACTCAAAGTTCTGGATTTTTCCTCACTGGGACTAGTGACAATGGCTCCTAAGACAAATAGGGAGGATGAATGTCCACAGAAGGACACATAGAGCAGTTAGATCCCTTGCCCATTTTGCACAACAACAAAATTGGCTTGAGATTAATTTTATTTTCTTTGAATCACACCCCAGGAAGCATGGGCAAATTACCTCTTCCTTTATTTCTGAGCCTCTCTCTCAGACATGTAACAAACATGTAGCAGAAAAACAGTGAAATGCCTTCAAGGTGGTAATTGTGCTAAAACTCACAAACACAAACCACATTTAACAAAATACACAAACACTGAGGAAATGAATCAATTTAATCACAAATGCTAAAATAAAAAGGCATGGCAAATACAGTCGCTTGAATTGAAACTGAATGCGAGTCTGAATGACCAGTGGGAAAAACCTTATAATGAGAAGCATGTGTGCTGCGGTTTCTGTTCAATTACGTCAATGTAGTTAAATGCCAGCGCACAAAATATTAGATAATGTAAGAGAAAAATGCTACAAATTATACATGGACTACCTGGACTAGCAAATTCAAAGATGTATAGATCAGCCAGGAATACTTACAATATAGGCATGACTCTCTCTGTCAATCAGTGGGCTGTCAGACTTGGTTTGGTAAGTTTTTAAATTCTGTTGAACTTCCATATGCTCCGGATTGGCCATAAAGAAGGTATGAGCAGCTTGAGCAGCTTCATCCAGCTGATTCAACTACAAAACAGAGAAAAACATCCATTCATTCATATGCTTTGTCTCTTTTACTGAAGTTACTAATTAATAGCCTATAAAGCTACAGTTGATCTAGTAAAGAAGAGTTGAGATTGTCCTCCAAAATGATTTCTAAGTCCAAGTTAAAAAAAGGCCACACCAAATACTCATCTTTTAGAACATTTGTGTTTTTGACGTTGGATGTAGAAGATACTTGTAAGTTTCAATTCCATTTACTACTCAGCCCTGCACAGCAAAACATTGGTGTCCTATGAAATAATTTATGAATGTTGGCATTTGGCATGTTCTAAAATATTAACATTGATATACTCTTATGAAACAGCTAAATTTCAGCACAAATTTATCTTAGGTATACTTTTACTTGTGTCTGTGATAATTAGCTAAAACTACAGTCTACTGGAAGATGAGTGCAATTCATTATGAAGGCTTTTCCCAAGGACTTGATTAGGACATATTTAAATATATTTATAAACAGGAGGTTGAATCCAAGCACAGATTCAATATGAGAAAAATTTAGTGAATGACCTTGCCTAAAGCTCAAGTCAGGGTCTAAAACATGAAGTTAAGACTGTGTGTGCATCCATGACTATTTGCTAATGAGCAATGTCCAGCCTTGGCTTTTGGTGCCCAGAGTCCTACTTAAAGCTCAGCACAACTAAGGAGGGTTGCAGAGTGGTTGTCAGCTCCTGTCTGACCTGTTTTGCCTTTTGATTCTGCTTTATTCTGATCTCCTGTTGCTGACCTTGGCTTGTGTCTCAATTTTGTTCTCTGTCTGCTGTATTAGTAATCTTGTTGCTCATCTGACAATGACCCTGGTCTGGCTTTTGACCCTGCTTCTGCCTTCTGATTTGGTCCTTCTACTACCTGGATGTTGCTGCTTCTGTCTCGTCTTGACTAAGGATTTGTTTCCTGCACCTGGGCTCTTGTGCTCCTCCTTTGTGCCAGCATGCAGTCTGTCGCCAGGCTAACTACTGCACCAGGCCCTACTACAGGCACCCATGCCAATTCATAATCTGCTATATCCTGTCATCAGTTCAGGGCGTATTGGGCAGGAGATGTACTGGAAGCCCTCTCATCAGCTTGGCCTCTACCATTTACATGGCATTCAATCTCATTTCCCCAGCAGAATAAGTTACATTTAATGGCAATAGGTGTACAGGTCAAATACTGGTTTATAAAAATAGTTATTTTCATAAAAATGTACAGATATAAAAAGAAATCAAGATAAAGTAATAATAGTTATAACATAAACAACTACCAAGTAGGTTTTCTACCAAAAAACTGGAAATCCAGATGTTGGAAGAATAGAGACAAATTCATGATCCACTGAATTCACAGACAAATCCTTCCAGTAATTACTGTATGCTCTGTAACTAAGTCAAGAACCCTGACAGGTGGATCACAGCCAAAAAGCTTTGAATGGTCAGCAAATCAATCATTTTGTAATTATTAAATATGCCCTGTGTTGGGTCTACAGTGGCCGAATTTCAGCTTGCTAAAATAGAGCCCACATTCCTAAATCATTGGTTGTTTTGTATAGCAAAATGTATACTTAAAACAGATGTGCAAACTGTGTTGTTTAGATACAGATTTTCCGCTTGAGGTCAATAATCAAATGCAGAAAAGTAAAATGATGATAGTTTAGCCAACTATTCAAGAAGGTAAAAAAGCACATGGGATAAGTTAATAAATTATACGCTATGCCAAATTGGACAACTTCTTTTAATCAGCGTTCAACAAGCTCTTCTGTGCTTTGTTCCCAAGGGACTTTAAGTATAAGGATGAAAGTTTTTTTTCCAGAACTTTATAAGTTGAAATGTTAGATTTGTTCAGGGAGTTTCAAGCTTCCTGGAGTGACATCATGACCACACAATGATTTTCCTGTTCGGAGTGACGTCGCTGACTGAGAGCAGGCTTTCCCCTTGAGCTCTGCATTCCAAAGCAGTGAGCTCTGTTGTATTACACTTCATTCCACTCTGAATGTGGCTATTAGATCTGATTTTTGAACATTCTAAAGGATCCCTTCAGGGCTTTACAATCCTCATACCTTCACAGAAAGACGTCCTTCACTATACCAAAAACATTACTGCAGTCTTTATTGTAGAGATTTTGCAGATCACCTGTGTTTAATCCAGAAAATTTGTTCTTAGTGGTGAAATAATAAAATGGTCTTGTTGGAATAACTATAATGTTTGACATAGTATCAATAACAAAACTAGCAGTCTTCATTATTGTGCCCAGACATAAGTAAGATGTTGAGGCTTGTTTGTTATTTAAATGCACTCCGCCTCCAAGAAACGGAATCTGACTTAAATTCCAGCACACCTGTGCATATCAGACATCATAAATCTAGGTGTTTGGACATAACTCATCATTTTACCACCACAAATGCCATTGCTAGAAGCCATCTTCTACATCAGTGCGAAGATCTCATCATGGAAATTTTGTTGTGCGATGGACTGATATTTCACAGGTACAGCTGTTTTGCAGTGCATTCAAGGTAACCCATGTCTAGCAAGAAGATGAATCAGTCACTCCAGAAATCTGAAATGTGTAACTCATATCCCTCATAAGGTCTCATGCACAATGGTCATTTATCTCCAATACATGAGGCTCTGCCATTTGGGTGGTGGTAGAAGGGTTAAGGGCACCATCTAGCTCAGCTGCTGGCAACCTGTAAAAGTCTATGAGAGGCTGATACCTGCTGCAAATAGATGGTGGTCTAAGAAATAGGACTCCACACTGAAATGTGTTGCCAAACCCCCTTTTAAGTGCAACATCATTGCAGGTCACATGGCCACAGGTTGCGTCATTGAAGTCCACAGTGGCTGCTTCCTTTGTCTGTTCAACCTATTCAAGCTGGTTCTTCTTGGTTCCTGCATCCTAGTGCTTCTTCCTATGTTATCTGTCCTCCAGAGGAGCTCTCATCAACATTGTACACTAGTGCTGTCACCTACTGGGACAACAGAGTTCACCACCTGCTGCTACCTTTTCATTACTGAAGTCTTCTATTTGACTATATGTGAGTGCATTTCCACCTATTTTATATAATGTGTTAATAAAATGCTACACTGAGAGTGGTGCGTTCTCTTTTTGTTTGTGCTTTTTTGTTACCTATCAGGGACATCCCCTGCTGGATACCCTGCAGATTATTTTATATGCCGTGTCCACCTGGTCTTATATCAATGCATTACTTTACTTTTCATCCGTGTGTTGTCACGCATGCTACACTAAGACAGTGGCACTCTCTTTCCCTTTGTTTTCTTCTTTATTTTATATATGGTGATTGATGAAAAGTACAAATACTTGTATACAAGTACAATACAAGCACAAATACTTGTATTTGTACTTGATGGCCTCAGTGAGCTGACGATGTGCATGTTTCCTAGTGGGACTGTGTGTGTGTGTGTGGGGGGGGGGGGGGGGGCATTTCTTTTACTCAGGTGTCAGATTACACCCAGCTTTAAGCAGTTTGTGATGTCAGATCTCTGCCCAAAGCCTCTTGGAAGCTGAGAAATACCATCTGATCTGTATATCTTAGAGGGCTCTGGAGGGGACAGAGCTGCATATAAATAAGTATGAACTGTGTGGAAGGATTTGCTTCATCATTGCTTACCAGCAAGCACAAAGACTGGGGTGTCACTGAGAGCCCCAGGTCCCGTACTAACGATTGAGACCTGGAACGCCTGATTCTGGGTCACCTGATCACTGTGATAGCTTTTGATCGACTATCAAAAATACCTAGATCAAGGTTTGATCTAGGTCAGTGCCATGGTGAGTGTTTAGGTCAAGGTCTGGGTCAAAGGTCAGGGTCAATTTTTTTCCCTTTTAATTAGTATCAGCGTCAGTGTTTTAGGTAGGAAAAAAAAAGCAAAATGTGCACAATTGTTTCTGGGTTGTACTACGGGTACAAACAACAAATAACATACACGTATGTGGTATTGCTGCTCAAGAATTTATTTCGGGTTGTTCTTTAGTGGTGGTAACAAAAAACACACACAGCTAAATTAAAAACAAAGTTTTTCTTTTTTACTATTTTGAGCCAGTTTTCCTTTGAGAATAAAAGAAATCAAAAGATATTCATTACCATTTACCACCAAATGAAAGGAAAATTTGTCCTGAAAAAAACAAGGTATAATTCACCTGGATGTACAAAGTAGTTGTGATGATGTGAATGGTTTAACTAACATATGCTAAAGTTGCAAAATTTTACTTAGGAATTAAGATTTTACCCTTGTTTTACCCTTAGGCATGAAGGGGTTGAAGGTTTATTACAACTTTAAAGTGGAACTCCAGATTAACAACAAGATCTGTGAATGATCAGACTCCTCCCCCCTTCATAGATCATGTTACAGGCATTGTAATCAGAGATAATTTTTCTCAGTGGAGGAGAGGACAGGAGGGGCATATGCAGCTTTAGTGCAGCTGAGTCTGGAGACCCATCGCCAGACGTTCAACAGCAGGAAGAGGACAAGGCAGCTCTGCAATTAGGTTTTCTACAGAATACAGTAGCATAAAGGAGCATATCCTTCTATTGCGTGTACTTGCCGTGATTCAAAGCATATAGTGTGATGTCCATCTGCTCTCTCATTCCTTTGCTATCTGCATGAGTCACTTCTGACAACATATGCTGACAACAAGCAATCCCAGGGGATGTCCCTGCCCCCCAGCACACAGCAGGTGATTGACAGCATCAGATGTGTATGTTTCCCTATGAAACTCTGTAGAGGGGAAAGTGTTCATTCCCTCCATCTTGCCTTAGATTACATTTATCCTCCTGCTATATGCTGTGCAGTGTGTGACATCAGATCCCCGCCCCATGTTTTCTGCAGCTCAGAAATGCTGTGTAAAATGTGTATTTTAGGTTGTTGTAGAGGAGAGAGGGCTCCAGATAAACAGGTACAACTTATGTAGGGGGATTTGTTTCATCTCTGTGTATCACCTGAGGCTAGTCACTTAAATGGGTATATGTAGCGTTTGACAAATACTTTAAGAGTATACCAGTGTGAGGGCTGTTTTGCCTGCATGGGATGTTCAAGTGTTCTATGCAGGCTGTACCATGTCAATTAGGGCGTAGCAGCTACATGGAGATAGCTGCTGCATCCAATTTCATATATTTACAAATACATAAATGGAGCTGCCTGCCGGCAGATACATAGAGCACCTGGGTATCCTGTGCAGACATAACACGACCCTCACATGGGTGTATGTTTGACCTCTTCCCTACCGCGCTACAGCCGCAAGATTGCTACAGCGTGGTTGTCTAGTTCTGGGAGGACATCCATGGATGTTATTCCAGAACACACCCCCTGCGCATCCAGCGCTGCCGGTGATCACTGTGTGCTACGGCACAGCTGATCACGTGATACAGTAAACAGCCAATCACAGCGGTCTTTTACCACGTGATCAGCTTTGTTCATTGACACAGCAGGTCACCGGGTAAATACAGTTGCCAGTTATCGGCTGCACTTTCCACACGCTATCACAGCGTGAGGAAAGTACTGCCGACAACTGCCAATTGTCAGAGAAGTGATCGGCACTGATCATTAGAGTACTGATGATCGGTGCCCTGATGATCAGTGCCCAGCAGTGCTGCCCACCTATGCCCATCAGTGCCACCCATCAGTGATGCCCAGCAGTGCCGTCAGTCAGTGCCACCCATCAGTGCCGCCTATTAGTGCAGCATCATCAGTGTTGCCTTTCAACACCGCCTAACAGTGCCTCCTATCAGTGCCCATCAGTGCTGCCTATCAATGCCACCTCATCAGTACCACCTATTAGTGCTGCCTATCAGTGCAGCCTCATCAACGCACATCAGTGAAGGACAAAAATTACCTGTTTGCACAATTTTAAAATAGATACAAAGATTTTTTTGTTTATAGCGCAACAAATAAAACACCCAGCGGTGATTAAATACCACCAAAAGAAAGCTCTTTTTGTGTGAAAAAAATTATAAAAATTTCATATGGGTACAGTGTTGCATGACCGCACAATTGTCATTCAAAGTGCAACAGCGCTGAAAGCTGAAAATTGGCCTGGGCAGGAAGGGGGTATAAGTGCTCGGTAGGCAAGTGGTTAAGTACGACTGTGTGAATGAGTCTCACTCCGTTACATGTAAGTGATGTAACTAAACCTGTAAAGAAAAAAATGTTTATTTAACTAAACTTAATTTTTTTTGAGCTGTAAAATCTTCTGTTTGCCTGGTGTTCCAAGGTGAACAAATAGCACACATTTATTATAATCATATAGCATTCATAATGAATTTTTAAATAAGCTATGTTTCTGCACTTAACACCCTTTCATTTTATTATTTATGATTAAAGCTCCGTGTTTTTGATTTCGTTACATTATTAAATTTTAAACTGGCTAGAAACAACGCTTTTAGTTCACAACAACTCGGAACACGTTTTGGAATGCATTTCTGTTCTTTTGGTGTAGGTATAACATACATTAATACCATTTAATGCTAATTATGTAGGGTGTTGCAAGGGAGTGGATGCTATTAAAGTTGCCCTCCAGATATTTATGAAAACTCCACCTTGGTTACCCTCATAAGCTTTTATTCAGAAATATGGCACTGATTTCTTTTAAAGATTTCAGTAAACAAGATATCTTCCAAAATAGGTGCTTGCAATCAGTTATTTTATTTTAGGGCAGTTATATTTTTTTATTTTGTACCAGTGCAAAAATACAACACAAAAAACAACTACCGGTACATGTTAACTCATCCCTGACTGTTACAAGTTACCTGAATATTAAACATATCTTCTCACCATGTACAATGTACAAGAAAAAATAATTTAGTGCTGCCAAAGTTTTAGGGCCAGTTCACACTACATACGTTTCAATGTGCTTTTTTTCTGCATCTAAAACGCACAGAAAGTAGCTTATATGGTTGTCACTGCCATAGTTTACATCAGTGCTTGCAGCTCAAGTGTGTTCTGGCCGCAGAAAAAAAAGTAGAACATGCTGCATTTTTCCTGCACTGGAATGCGGTAAAACACAATAAAAAATGCACTGGAATGCACCAAAAATGCACGTTCCTATTTCAATTGAAAAAAGGGAGGGAAAAAATTAACTGGAAAGCATAAAAAAACGCACCAGAACACATAAAAAATGCAACAAAACCACACCAGAACGCGCCAAAAACTCACATGCGGAAACACATCTGGACTGCATTTCTATGGTGTGAAGTGGCGTTTAAGGAAATTTGTAGTGAACAGCTCTGAACCTTTGACATCTGCTTTTTCACTGCTCAGCAGTGCAGCTTAGGGCTCTGTTATGCACACCTGAGCACATCAGTGGACTTTACGGCTAGGTTCACATATGTGCTGGTGGTGCCGCTGCGGATCCACACAAAAATCTGTACAGCCACACCACTCTGCACAGAGGAATGTGGACCCGCAGGTAGGTGCCATTAGTTCTAATGGCACGCCGCCCCAACTGGAAAACGCAACTGTACTGGGAACCGAGGTTCCCGTGCGGGCGGAGTTTTCAGAAGAAGGGACTTCTTCTCTGCGTGTCACAGGGCACGGGAGTCCATTCAAATGAATGGGTTCTCGTTTCCGTGGAAAACTCAGCCCACACAGCCGCATATATATGAACCAGGGGTAAAGGCCAGAGATCCAGACCTGCAACTGATCAAGTGGTGTTTGCTTGCTCATGCTCTGGACAAAGGTCTGTCTGTCTTGGACATCTGCTTATGCTTGGGGATCATTCCCGTGTATTTTTTGGACTGTGTTTATACCCATTTGCTAATCTATGTCATTCTGCTACTGTCTGAGGACATACACCATTCTACCATCTGCTCTGCCTGTTTTTGGCTATTGCCTATGGCAACACTGAGGATCTAACAAAATGATAATCATCTCTACATGTTTCTATGTATAATAAGGTAAAAGTCTTGTTATGCAAAAGATCTTTGCCATTTATTTATGTATCAGCAATAAACAATGGTATCTCCCAAAAACCATCCATTAATATCACTTGTTATGGTTGATTTACTAAGGGCAAATAGACTGCTCATTTTGCAAGAGAAGTTGTATTTTGCAATTGAATTTTCTCCAGAGCTTGGTGAATGAGGAAAAGCTATGCAGACTTCCATCATTCAATTATGTGCAAGCAAAAATGTTGTGTACGTGTCCAATTCAACACAATCAATTTCCTGACATAAAATAATAGGATACATAAAAGGGATTTAGTGTACAGCTACGTTCATATATGTGCGGGTGGTGCCCCTGCAGATCTGCACAAAAATCCGTGCAACCGCACCACCCGCACAGAGAAATGCGGACCTGCAGGAGGGTGCCATTATTTCTAATGGCATGCTGCCCGCATTGGAAATCGCAACCGTACTGGGAACCGAGGTTCCCGCGCGGGCTGCGTTTTCAGAAGTGCAAGGACTTCTTCCCTGCATGTCCCGGGGCACGGAACTTCATTCAAATGTATGGGCTCTCGTGCCCACGCAAAAAGTGGCCTGCAGGAATGTGAATATGTGAACCAGGGGTCAATATCCATAACATCATCCTCATTCAAACCCAGAAGGACCAATAAAGGACTACATTTATTTGAAAAAACAAAGGTATCTGCCAGAAATTCAATAACCTGCAACCATAATGGCTGCACTTTGTTACATTCCCAAACCATATGTAAGAAAGACTCTACAGGGGCCTGACATTTATGACAAAGTGCATTATCATGGTTCCCCATTTTGAATAAGTTCTATGGCGTATAATACATTTGGTGCAAGTAGTGCAACTGTATCATTTTGTCTTTAGCTGAGATAACTGTATCTACGCCCTATGCGCATTTTTGAGGCATTTGATAGGCGTTTGCAAAGCGTTAAAACCACACCACAAACGCCTATAATGAAGTTTAATGGTATTAACGCTCTGCAAATGCCTCGCAAAAACGCCTGCCAGGCATTTGAGATGCGTCACCATAGACTTGAAAGGGAGGCTTCAACTCCACTTGACTGGACATGAGGCGTCAGTTTTGTCGGAATGCTAATGCTTCAGTTCGAACAGTACTGTGTGCTGCCATGTGCACAATTTTCATAGGCATTTGAGAAGCGTTAAAAACAATTCCCAAACGTCTGTCTGATGCCTGCTGACAAAGCTAGTGTGAACGTAGCCTTATGAAGTCTGTAACCAATTCTAAGCTTTAGTAATATCCTATATTATTTGATAATTGTTGGCAAAATGTGTGGTATTTTTATTAAGAATGTATGCAATGCCAAGCTGCGGTTTCTAAAGCGAGCAAAATCCTCTCTTGTATTAAAAGAGGTATAGACTCCAGAGAGAGAGATATCATATTCCCCCTGTACAAATCATTAGTAAAACCTCATCTGGAATATGCAGTTCAGTTTTGGGCACTAATTCACAAAAAGAACATTGGGGAACTGGATAAAGTACAGAGAAGGGCAACCAAACTGATACGAGGCATGGAGGAGCTCAGCTATGAGGAAAGATTAGAGGAACTGAATTTATTCTCTCTTGAGAAGAGGAGATTAAGGGGGGATGTGATCAACATGTATAAATACATCAGTGGTTCATATAGTGAACTCGGTGTAGAGTTATTCACCTTGAGGTCATCACAGAGGACAAGGGGCCACTCTTTACATCTGGAGGAAAAGAAATTTAATCTCCAAACATGGAAAGGATTCTTCACAGTGAGAGCTGTGAAAATGTGGAATAGATTCCCTCAAGAGTTGGTTCTGGCCAGCTCAGTGGATTGCTTCAAAAAAGGCCTGGATTCTTTCTTGGATACACAGAATATAACTAGATACTAATATTTATAGGTAAAGTTGATCCAGGGAATATCCGATTGCCTCTTGGGGGATCAGGAAGGAATCTTTTTCCCAGCAGGAGCAAATTGGATCATGCTTTGCAGGGTTTTTTTGCCTTCCTCTGGATCAACTGTGGGTATAGGATTATAACTTTTTTTTTTCTATGGTTGAACTGGATGGACTTTTGTCTTTTTTCAACCAGACTAACTATGTAACTATGTATGGTATTTAGAACCAAAAGCTTTAGCAACGCCAACCCCTATCTTTTTCTATCCAGTTAAATACTACAAACAGCAGGTCTGTGGTTATATGGTTTATACCAGGGGTCTCCATGGGAAGTATAGTACCCCATCATTGGCATCAGTGGGAGGAATAGTATCCCATAATTGGAATCAGTGAGAAGAATAGTGCCCTATCATTGGTATCAGTGGGAGGTATAGTGCCCCATCATTGTAATCGGTGGGAAGTATAGTACCCCATCATTGGCATCAGTGGGAGTTATAGTGTCCCATCATTGGTATCAGCGGGAGGAATAGTATCCCATAATTGGAATCAGTGAGAAGAATAGTACCCTATCATTGGTATCAGTGGGAGGTATAGTACTGCATCATTTGTATCAGTGGGAGGTATAGTGCCCCATCATTGGAATCAGTGGGAAGTATAGTATCCTATCATTGGTATCAGTGGGAGGTATAATGCCCCATCATTGGAATCAGTGGGAAGTATAGTATCCCATCATTGGTATCAGTGGGAGGTATAGTGCCCCATCATTGTAGTCGGTGCGAAGTTTAGTACCCCATCATTGGCATCAGTGGGAGGTATGGTGCCCCATCATTGGTATCAGTGGGAGGAATAGTACCCGATCATTGATATCAGTGGTATGAATAGTGCCCCATTATTGATACTAGTAGAAGGAATAGTGCCCCACCATTCGTATCAGTGGAAGAAATTAGTGCTCCATTGTTGGTGTCAATGGGAGGAATAGTGCCCCATTATTAAAACTAGTGAGAGGAATAGTGCCCCATCATTAATAGTACCATTAGCTACCATACACGGCTGAACCAGATTCTGAGTGCACCAGTTTTAGTAAATCTACCCTAGTGTGTGTATTTGTATATGTATCTGTGTTCTAAAAACTAGATGGAGGTATAATGTTAAGTCAGTCTCAGTTTTTACTTTCCAGCAATAACACTGATGTAATTCTTGTAAATATGCCTTTAGCACCGTTTTACGATTGCTGGTGTTGAACAAGATGAGGTATATGTGTATTTCGAGATAGCATAGCTTCAGTGCATGTCAAGACTGGATGTCCAAAGATTGACAAATAAGTTTAAGGAGAAATGGAAAACTTAGAATGTGTGTGGGCTTACAGCTTGAAACTGAGAATATCCCCTGTGACCCTCATTTGAGACCTTGTACTGATGTTCAAGTCACCAATGCTTCAAGGTGATGTAGTCAGCATAAAATATTAAAAAAATATGTTTATTTATTATATATATTATATATATAGTGCCAACAAGTTATGCAGCCTTTACATATTGTACATTCACATCAGTCAAAATGGTTGTAAAGGCTCAAGGTTTTTTACCTTTAAGCATTCTATGCTTAAAGGAAATAAACCTTCTGTGTGCAGCCCCCTCCCCCCCAATGCTTACCCAAGCCCCATCGTGATCAAGCGATGTGCATGAGAGCCTCGGCTCTCCGGGGACTCTTCCTCCTCATTGGCTGAGACAGCGGTGAGAGCTATAGGCTCCTGCTGCTGTCAATCACAGCCAGTGAGCCAATGAGGAGAGTGTGTGAATGGACATGCAGAAAAAGCAGCTCAGGAGCGATTCTGCTTTGGTGCCCCGATAGTAAGCTGCTTGCTCTGAGGGCACTGGGCAGGAGGGATGGGCCAGGAGCGCCAGTGGGGGATCAGGGTTGCTCTGTGCAAAATCAGTGCACAGAGCAGGTAAGTATGACATGTTTGTTATTTTTTTTTTGGTAATTGCCTTTAATATCACTTGAAGTATAGCTGAAGTAGTTCATATCATTAACGCATACGATAAAGCTAGTTTTGGTCAGGAACCAGTATCCCTATGCATATGTTTTTGGGTTATGAAAAGAAACTGCACAACCCACAAAAATCCCCGTTAAGTGTGGCTAGAACATACAAACTCCACACAGATGGTAATGTGTGATAAAAAAATAAATCCAGATGCCAGCAGACAAAGGAAATACAAATATAGTCTCTGAATTAATAGCCACGTAATTCAGTGACTAGAGTCCCTGGTATATACAAACCTTTATAAACTGCAGTCAAACAGCTACACACACAGTTGGAATGCATTTATATGCACTTTGGGGTTGATTTACTAAAACTTGAGAGTGTAAAAATCCAGCGTAGCTGTGCATGGTAGCCAATCAGATTCTACCTTCAGCTTGTTCAATTTAGCTTTGATAATAAAACCTGGAAGCTGATTGGTTTTTATGCAGAGCTGCAACAGATTTTACAGTCTTCAGTTTTAGTAAATCAACAGCTTTATGTTCAGCCAGGTTTATGATTTAGGCACTACTGCCAGACGGTGCAGTCAGTACACTTGGGCAGTACAGCCTAGCCCACACCCTTCCCCAGCATAACAATGAAGGAGCAACAGCAAATAAATTATGTCATTATTCTCCTTCCCGCTAGTGAGTTTCCAGTGTGAAATTGACAGAAATGGAGATTAAAGCGGTAGTAAACGCTACTATATATTAAAAAAAAATTATTTCCCCTACAAGACAAAGGCATAATGTGCTAGTACATATAATACATTATGTGAAACTTACCTTAAAATGAAACCCTACAACAGCACGCTGTCACCACTGACATGGCTTTCATCTTCACTCGGTCCTTCTTCTGGGTTCATGGCCTTGGGTGGCTTGAGTGGCCAAGCCGCGTTGACAGCACTCCTGAGCATGCGTGCAGGAGTCACTTTTTACAGTACACAGCTCTGAAGGAACGGCACAGCGATGCCATTCCTTTAGAGAGCATGAGTGGTGCTCTACACAGGTAAATATCTCCTAAACGGTGCACATTTAGATTTTGACAGTACCTACCAGTATGCCTTATTAAAGGCTTGCCTGTAGGTTCAAGTTAAAAAACACTTTAACTGGTTTAGAATGAGGTCTCTCACCTCTTCTCAGTGTGCGGCCCTCATTTCAGGGATAACAGAAACATAGTAAGAGAGTTTCAGATTAAAATATTGATCGGGTTAGATGTTTTTAATCTACATGGAGTCAGCTTTGTTTTATATTGCTGTATTTTATTGCAATGTTTTTGCTATCTGTAAAGTATGTATTGCTCATAGCTGTCCATACACATTAATTAATGTTGTAAAGCGCTGCGCAAACTGTTGGCGCTATATAAATCTTGTGTAGCGCCCTCTAGTGTGTTGCTAGTATTAGTGTAGGTAAATTTAATATGTTATGACTCCTTGTCATTGTATATGTAATTAGGTTGGGCTATTGCAGGTCAGGCTGAGTGACTTAGCAGTTGGGACTATCACCTCCACCAGGTTCTGGAGAACCACAGAAGCTTCCAGAAGCCAGTGGGAGAAAGGGGTGGAGACCTCAATTATTATTATTATACAGGATTTATATAGCGCCAACAGTTTGCGCAGCACTTTACAATATAAAGGGAGACAGTACAGTTACAATACAATAAAAAACAAGAGGATCAATAGGGCATTG